ATGAAATATGAAAGTCATAGCTCAACTAAATCAAAAGTTATTGGCAAGGTTAAAGTTTTTGCTGACAAACAGACAGAGAGACAGACGAACACGACAAAAACTATATACAGTACCCCCAAGATTTGGTTTACAGGGGCATAAAAACTGTAAATAAGCTTTTTTCCCACAAGTTCATAATGCTGGAGATGCACAATTTCAGATCAATCCACTTGTAGAAAATTATATGCTTTATTGGATTGTCTTTTTTATTGACTTAATTTAAGCTTTAACAAGTTTCTGCAGAAAGTTGTTATCGCTCTCATTGCATTGATTATTAATTCAATGCTGAAAAAGTATGTCAACATTATATTTGTAAAATTATTTCATTTTTTTTATTTAAAAAGAATCAGCATGACAGTTTTGTAGTGTATTTACTGCGTAGATAGTTTTTTATACAAATAATTATCTGTATATAGGGTCAATATCTGAGGCCGTGGCATACTTGATCGCCAGCATGGGGCTTCACCCAGGGGATTTATATGACACCAGTATCATGGATAGCACAGAGAGAATGGAGATTGGAACAGATTCAGAAAATTCTACTCAAAATACAGCCATCAAGAAATTACAGGGTAGGTGTTTTACTGGTCTTGCAAGGCTTGAGTTTGTGTGTGCAAGTACAAGTACTGTAATACATGCTGATATAAAAACGATAAAACATTTTAACTTTTGGGTTTGTTTGGGATGGAGTAAGAAATTTAAGATATTCAATTTTTTGCCACTTTTTAACTTTGGGTTTTGTTTGGGACCAAGTTAGGAATTTAAATGCTCAAATTTAAATTGCCACATGAAGCAGTTTGGTACTAGTGAGGTCTTTGGTAAAGTGACCCTTATGTAATGCTATTCCCTTTGCTTCTGTAAAAAACTGTAAATTTCAGGTTATTGCTATTAAAGTAATCAGACTTGTGGTTTCCCTTTATGACTAAAAATTACTGTATATATTTTAGGTTATTTGATAGAGTTACAGAAGAGATTACCACACAGTCTAGAAAATGAAGTGTTACTGTGTAACTGCTGCTGGGAGAATGCTATTATCTGGTTCAAAGATTTAGATGTAAGTTTGGACAAATACTGAGTTTACATTTCTTTTAATTATTAAGATTTTGTGAGGATTTACATTCCAGGAATTTTTTGTGCATAAATTTACAACTTGATTGATGTATAAAATTGAGAAATCAGAGAATATTTCGGATTTTCTATTTAGGCTCTTTTCAATATACCTATACAAATTCTAATGCATCCATACTAAAAAATCAACAAATGTTTCAAATAAGTGATTGGTACTTCTTGGTTACACAACATTAAAAAATTCCTTGATTGCATCATGCATATCATTATTTTCTGTTGTAGAAAGTTCATCATTTGGGTTTTGCAATGGAATACTTGAAACTAGTCACTAATGCTGTATTAAGACATGGTAAGTTTAAAAAAAACCCATTTAATGACAGTGAACCAGTATGTACATGTACATATTGATATCATAGATGAGAGGGGCATTCCAGACTTTTCTCAATTTGATTCTTGCAATTAGAGCACTTTCAAAAACACAATTTACTGGCAATCCAGTCTGCCAGGGTACATAATTTAAGAAAATATTAAGGGGAGCAGTCAATACAATTCTTTAGAAATACATGAATACATGTTTTTCCTTTTTTTTGCCAGGAGTTGCCTCTATGTTGTGGCATCGCTTCGTGATGAAGAAATTCCAGGCTTTAGCTCAACTAATGGAGAAGGTAAATGAGTAATTTAACATGAATTTTGGTTGAGTATAGCTGTAAAATACATGAATTGAATATCTACATGTGTATATGTGATTCTTTCATAAAAAATTTTCAGGTTGGGAAAGTTCCAAAAGATAGACTCTGCAGAAAGGTAAAAAAAAATATGAAATGAACTAAAATACTTTATTGTGAAATCACCTATTTTCTTTGGGTTTATTCAAGCTACCCCGGTATGAAGAGATCCACAATATATGTCCACCACAAAATGCAATTTTTCACATGTAAAACTACTGAACAATTATTCACCTGTGAATTGAAATCCCCATGAACCAATATATTTTGCACAAACCACAAACATTTGACCCCTCAAAAATATGTGATTTTACAGTATATAAAATGTATTGGCCTGCTCTCGAATTGAAGAATATGACCAGTTTATAGCCAGATGTAGCCAGTTTAATCAAAAATGAATGGTTTAAGAGTTATGTCCCCTTTCAAGATTCTTTTTGCAATTGGGGAGGGAGTCATTTTGTAAGCATAAAATGTAAAATGTTTGATTTGATGATGGTCTTTTTGTTTATTTCTCTACAGGAAGTTGGTATAGGAGAGTCTTTCATGCCCGCCTTTGCTGAGTACTCACTTGATCTCATTCAGGTTCTCAGAGAGGTATACAACATTCCATTTATATATCTACATGTATATCTATTGAATTCTGAAAAAAAAAACATTGAGAACTGAATGCAACAATTTCATCCCTCAAACTTAATAATGAAGGAATGTTTTCTTTTTTATTCCCAGGCAAACTGTGAGATGAATGAGGTTCCAGTGTTTAACATAGAGCCAGTATGGCAGATGGTGCGGGGGCCATCATCCCTAGTAGAACAAGCTATAGAACAGAAGATGACAAACTATGGCCTGCTGTCCCATCACTATCACCTGGCTGTCATTATGTCCGCTGTTCTTACGTTCAACATGAAGTCAGCCAAGGTTCTCTCATTGTTTGACTCAAAGGTAAGAATTAAAAAAGGATGTTGATTAAAAGTTTAATTTCAGATATATTTACTAGGACATATTTGTACCAGTAACAAACCACATGTCTCGTTTTGAAAGAAATATATGTGTAGTTAAGATGAAAGAGAAAATAATAAATTGTTTGAGTTTGTTGGTTTCTTCCAGGGAAAGCATGCATTTTTTATTGATTTTACCCAGCATCCTTTGCTTCCTTCACAGAATGTTGATTCTTCTCTGTCATCCAATCGCAAGGAGGTCAGTACATAAATAATTATGCCTTTATGTACGAATGTGCATTTTTTTTTACTTACACTTATTTACTGTATTCTCTTTCAACATCTTTAATAATTTTTATTTTGAATTTTCAGTTCTTAGCCAGAATTCTTACATGTGCTGTGAGCACACTTGATTCATCTCAAGCTTCCCCTAGTCATAATCTACATCAAGTTTCCAAAAAGGACGCTGCTGCCACGAAATGGCCGACGCTGGTCCTAGAGATTGCTAAGGATTTTGGTCTTGATTTAGATTTCTTCAAACGCCAGCATGTGATAGAGTTATACTCCAGTGGACATGATAAAAAGGCAGAAGAGGTACATTGTACATATCTTTTTCAACAGAACAAAAATTATTTGTAAGCTATGTCAGCGTAAGACAGAAGTGAGGTCTTTTGATTCAAGTTTTCCTAAGTTTTCAAAAAGTTGGCAGATCTAGTTTTGTCTATCCTTTGCAAAAATGTTAACTTTTTTTAATATTGTCAACTTCTTATTAAAACAATTGGTTTCAGTTAAACTAAACTTAGCACAAAACATGCCCAAAATAAAATGGGATTTAAAGAAGTGTGTATTCTTAAAATTTTAGAGCATTAAAATTACTGTAAATCACTTTTTATTCCTGAGAATTTCATTTTCACGTAACAGACAAGCCAGACAGCTTGCTTGCAAAAATTTAATTCTTATGTACATGTACATGTATATTAGTATTGTATAGAGTAATAACCTCCAATCTTTAAAATTTTGTCTCGTTTATCAAGAATCAATGTCTATCTTGTGAAAATAAGGTGTCGGGAAAATTTAATGATTTACAGTAAATATCAGATAGAAGTTAAGCATTGTACATATAGTTCCTTATCTCTATCATTGTTTTATGGTGTAAATCTGTTCATAAAAAAGCAATCTAAAATTTATAGGTACTACTGACAGTGAATGACCGTGAGTTCATGGGGTCACAGCTTTTGTTGGTTGCTGGGAGACGAGTGGCCCATTACTTGTTGGAGACTCATAAAATGGAAGGGGTGGAGCTATTATCCAACGTGTCCCCCGCTCTGTCAACGTGGCTACGGTCACTGGTAGGATGATCCTTTTCTCATTGATTCTCATGTACAAGTAAACAAAACTCATTTACAAGTAAACAAAACTCCTATACGTTTACATAAAATGACAGTATAAAATTTAGCACAATCACTGGGTATGGAGTTGTTTGCCTAACCATGAATTTGCACTACACATACCCATGTCATGTATTTATATCTGTATTCTTAGTGATATTCATGAATTAGCACATGGTAATTAGCAGCAATGCTGCTTAAATATAAACCATGCTATAATAAGTACACAAAATTCATACAGTTTGTCATATACATCATTGGAATTTTCATTTAACAGGAACCTGGACAACTCAGAAAACCAGAAGCAGACGTAAAATCTGTCGCCATGCTTGTCCATCATGTAGCCAACTATTTGCCAGAGGGAACATCTGAATATGAACTTGCCATTTCCTTAGTAGACTTGGTGCAGTCTATGCATTAACCAATTTTTGACATTTTAATTAGTTATATTAATTATTGTTAGATTTTTTTTTCTCTGATTGTTGTATAAGAAATATTTATTTTGATTGCAAGTTATTGCTTCCACCTGAACTCAAAACTTTTGCATAATATATATTTTTAGAATTATTTGGAAATTAATAATTATAATGGAAAATAAATCAACCGTAAATACGGTAGACAAAAAAGTATACTGTTCCTGCTGTTAAGATTTTACCACAACTCAGATTACAGATTATACACAAAAGGAAAATAATGCCTTTTGCATTGACTGTTCTATATGTGCATATAGTTGTACATTAGTAAATATTAGAAGAAATAAAATAGCATGGCAGGTATTGGAATTATTTATTCTGTATTAAACAATTTTTTGATATTAAAAAATAGATGAATTTGTTTGGCAGATCATGAAAGCAACAAGTCGTTTTTATTTAAAATAAGTTACATGTATAAGCAATTATTTTTCTGTTCAGTTACTGAATAAAAATAAATGAAATATGATAAACTGATGTCATTTTCCTTATTTTACACTTTTAAGACTGTCATACTGCATTGACAATACATTAGAACACCTCTCACACAGTTCATTATTGTCTGCAGTATTTCTCCGACAACGCTCGCACCTAGAATAACGGGCCTTTGTTAACACTACTTTAAATGAACACTTAGAATCTGAATGCACACCATGTATAACTCTGGCTTCCTCCTGAGAACTCTGAGAGTCTGAAATATCACCGTGTATAACTCTGGCTTCCTCCTGAGAGTCTGAAAGATCACTGTGTACAACTCTTGGTTTGGTTGTAGACTTTATCTGTTCTGATGGGGAACAGATCAGTCTTGTTACTGCTGTCTGTAGTATTTCACAGAGGGGGGAATCAGTGGATGTCTCAATCTGCTGAAGTTTCTATAAAAAAGAAGCAATGTCACAAAATTTGGTTGAGGAAATTCAAGTCAAAATGTTGGTGTTACATCTATAGCATTTGGTTGATGCTGGATGTAATAGAGCTTGAAAATTTTGAGCAGATCAACAAATAATGAAAGAAGGTCATTTTTCATTTTTTAATACAGTAACTGTAAAGGAACATAACTAAAATAAGACTTTTTATTTTTAAGCAATAAAAAATTTTCAGCAATGAATAACAACTGGATTTGGTTATGTCCTTGACTTGTGAATAGAAGAATGAGTGTTGATCTGATACCAATTTTACCTGTAATTCTGTATACAAAGGATTTTCAGCCACCACAAGGACATCATAATTTCCAGGAGGTTCAGACACCAGGTTCTCATTTATGTGATCTCGAATCACAAGGGCATTAGAAATCAACTGCTCTACAGCGGGATTATTCCAGTCTGGCTGCAAGGTGTACCACTGGGTGTGAAACAATGGAACCGTTTCTGTTAGGGGGGAAAATCACAAATTGTAAATTTTTGTCTAGAAAAATATATTTATCATTTTAATACTGGGGTTGAATGATGCTTTAACTAATGGTAACTTACTTTCTTCTGGATGAAATTTATAGACCTCTTCAGCTAATGAAGGAAGGATAGGTGCAATAGACTTGGTTAGAGTCTCCAGTGTATGATATAGCACGTACTGACAAGACTGGTGTCTAATTTCCCATTCATCATCACAGTATAACCTGTATAAAACACCCAAGTCATAGTACAAAATACAATGAAACCTGATTATCGGTAATCTGGACACCACTGGTTCCAAAGACATTTGTTCTGGATTAGACATTAATAGACAACATTCTGGATTTAACAAGATTTCAAACAACTGAATTTATCTAAAGCGACTTGAAGTTCACATGGTATTAAGGAAGATTTTGGAATACACAATATCCAGGTTAGACAAGTTTCACTGTACATAAGATGCTTTGAAATTTCAGTACCCCCCCCCCCCCCCTTCCCAAATTGTGATGGAAATTAATTCATGTTTGCTGTAGACACTTTTTTTATTACCTGTCTTTGGTAATGGTGATATAAACTTTGGAGAGGTCACTAAGAATTTTTTGTAGAAGTACCAGTACTCTCCCAAATTTAAATTCATCATACATGGATGTGACCTGAAAATAAATCTAGTTTATAAATACTTTCTGAAACAACATAGCAGAGTGATTTAAGACCATATCTATCTAAAATTATTTAATGGCAAAATTATACATGTACATGTATGTGTGCATGTTATACATGAACAATGAAAAAAGCTGTTTTGCAAGACATGCGTCATTCAAAATTGCACTAGTACTCATCAAAGAAAAAATATCAACCCTTTCTTTTCCTCAGGTGATCCTAATGCGATAAAAGAAATAATTTTTTTGAAAGAAAAACATCTTTATCAAGCTTCTTTTTGTTTTGTTACCTGAGATCCATAAGTGTACAGCAGAGAAAGCATATACTGATCCTGAGGGAGTAGATCATTGTATTTTATACTGTGTGTGCTGGAATCAAAGCTGTGTAGACTGCCCAGTAGATGCCGTAACATCTTACGAATCTGAATAAAATATGTTTTGAATGTTTCTAAAACTCCGTAGTATTCTTCAACCATTCAAGTTAAAGATATTGTTAATTAACATAGAAATGGCATCAATCTATCCTATATGAATTTGGGAACAACAGACCTGGAAGAGTTCCTGCTGGTGGATGTCCAGTATGTTGGTGCCAATGGCTACCTTTGTCTGGAGACCAGAGTTGGCCACCCACAGTCTCAGAACATCAAGTCCATACGGGATCCCTGTAGTCTTCTGTTAAAACAGTCAAACAAATTACAGGTACCATTATAATAATTTTTTCTTGCAATAATAGAACAGTAATTATCAGTTATGCATGTACGGTAATGATGCACAAATGTTTTCTACCAATATGACAAACACATGTATTTGCATTGAATTAATTTACATTATATCTAAATGTTACAGATTTTCATACTTTTGTTTTAACAATTAATTCCCTTGTTATCTATGTATTTTTTGTGTTGTGTCTTACACTGACTCCTTTGATTATCGCCCCTGGATCTACCACATTCCCAACTGACTTCGCCATCTTGTGTCCCTCTTCATCTACAGCAAAACCATGGACCACCAACTTCCTGGGTAGGAAAGTATCAAAGAACCATAATGCTGTTAACACCATTGTCTGCCACGAAACTACATGTATATACTCAGTGTTTTCCCTTTATTTCAAAGTAAAGGGTTAGACCGTTAGAGATAAGTTGTAACAGGCTATGGTATGAGGTTTATGAACAAATTCTCTGTGGACCTTACAACAAATTTTTATTTCAAAGTGGCATTTTTGTCAATTGAAGCGGTCAATTTGGCCGGTTGTCCGTTCTTAGGGAAACCACCGTATACTTGATGGAGAAACTCACAGTTGAATTAATGACAACAACATTCATAACTGAGCTACATACTTAAATGGAGCCCTCCCTCTGTAGGCCACACTGGTGAGGAGAGAGGACTGGAACCATCCGCGGAACTGATCCAGGCCCTCCAGATACACATCAGCTACCCTGTCTCCTGTAAAATAAACAACCTTGACATCTGTCTAATAAACGACCTTGTCATCTGTCTAATAAATATTCAGCTTCCAGAAAATAATCTGTTGCTGCTACAGTGCAACATACAGTAGTTAAAAATCAGCCAAATCCACAAGCATTCACAAATACTGTAAACATACTATTTCCAAAGGGTTACAATTTGGTGGAAACATAATTTCTGTTCAATCTAGATGTAGAAATTACACAGACTTTTCAAATTGCCTTTATAAGCCTTTTTCGCACTTAAAATATGCTTTAACTGATAATTTCCATGGAAAACTTGTGGTCACATACATAGTGTAAATTAATCCCACATGGAAAAAGGGATGTTACCAGTTCTCCGAGAATCAGTGTTATGGTGTATTATTTATTTACCAGGGAGGACAGAGGCCCAGGATGTTCCGCTGTCAAACCAGATGTCAATGATGTCACTTCCTCTCTGATAAGACGCAGCACTCCCTAGGCCATTCTACAGAAGATATAGAGTATGAAACAAGGTTATCTAAATTCACTAAAAAAGGATTATCTTTATAGTGCTGATATCTTAAAAAACCTTTGTGAAACTGCTTTCACCTTGGAGAGTAATTCCTCTGGTAAAAGTTCTTCTATACTCATATTCCACCAGCAGTCCGAGCCATGCTTGGATATTAGTTATAGTATATATTAAAAATCTCTCTGAAAAACAGTAACATACAATCAACCAAAAATAATAAAATAATAATGATTGTTTTTATATAGCACTTTTCTAGCATAAAAGCTACTCAAAGCGCTTTACAATACATTATTACCACAGCAGACCTTAACAATCCAGAATCTTTCTCAGGGCAAGCTGCCGTTATAAGCATAAAATGTAACATTCTGACAATATCTTTCACTGTCTATAGCCAGGTACCCCTTTTACACTTGGGTGGAGTGAGCAAATTCGTGTAAAGTGCCTTTCCCAAGGACACAACGTCGGCTTGTCGTGGCCAGGAATCGAACTCACAACCTTTCGATTTGGAGTCCGGCACCTTAACCACTGGACTACCAACGCCACACAATAATTATACTTAAATTCATAATTTCTTATGAATCATCTAAAACAATCTATGATGTGTTACTGACCTGTTTATTAGGATTTGGTCCGTGTCTCGATGGTAGAACACGGGAATGGGGACGCCCCAGACTCGCTGTCGGGAAATACACCAGTACCGCCTCTTAAGCTGTGTGTCCATGTTTTGTCGTAGGGAGTCAGGATAAACTTCAACATCTCTCATACATTCCTATAGGTCCACAAGAAACATACATCATAAAAATTGCATAATAATTCTTTAATCAAGAGAAAGTTATAAAAAGCTTCCACTAGAGTATTCACTTGGTGTAAATAACTTTTATTCAAAAAACTTTAATATTCAAAAAAAACATTATGTTCACATTATCATCTCTCATGCACACATTTCATTATCATGTACCTTTGTATTAAACAATTACAAAACCAAAAAAAAATAATTACATGTATTTTGCAAAAATCTGGTAAATTATTTTCCTGCCTTAAAAATACCAAATACATGTAGCTACCTGTCAAAAAAAGTAGTTGCAAAAATATTATAATTTACAATATGTTTAATAAAATATTTTGAGCATGTAATCAACAAGTAAATCAAAATCAACATAATTTTTTCTGAAGAAACAATAGAGATATGTTTTTTTAGCAGAATTGTTTTAATGACTTACCAAGGCTTGGTCCTGAAGTTTGCTGGTATCTATGAACCACTGTTTGCTTGCTCGTAAGATGACTGGTTTCTTAGTTCTCCAGTCAATGGGATAACTGTGTTTATAATCCTCTCGGAAAAGAATATAATCCTTTAGTAACGATATAACTGAAAATATATCAAAGAAAAATAAGTAAGATCATAAATTAGATTTAACTTTTAATCATAAAGCATAACCGCTCTTTACCAGTATGACTGATTGATATTATATTGTTTAACTTCCCTCTCGAGAATTTTTCACTCATATGAAGATGCCACCACTTGCTGGGGTAACTGTGTCCTTTAATGGCACTCAGAGCCATTGAATATAATCCTTCATGCAAGCAACTACTGCGACACAACTGAAAATAAATCAAGTAAAAATACATGTAAATAAGATGCTAAATTAGAGTTTAACTTAATTAACAATCATAAAGCAAATTAAACCTCTCTTTACCAGTATGAGTAAAATTATGTATACAAGTACATGTACAGCAAAACACTCAGATAGGATGAACAAATATATGTAATTTTTAATGGTCCTAATGTTCATTTTATGTTTTAAAACTGCAGAAATGAAAATCATTATCTGTATGAAATCAAAATATAAATCATGTTCACTGTAACCTTGATTTACTGTAAAAAATTTTTAAAGGAGGAAATATTTTATCCTTTAATTTCAAATCAGAAGATTTTAGAAAACAATGCAGTAAATGTCCTGATTACAGCAAGAAGTCAATAATAGACCTAGAACAAGTACATGTGTACCTGTTTCCTCTGCATCAATATGAATCCTCTTCCCCTCTAATTGTGGCCCTGTTTCTGAGGTATACCTCCCAGCTTCATCAACCAAAGTGTCCTGAAATCATAAGACAGCTTTTAAGTCACAATGTGTGGGATTGGAAAATGAATTGAAAAATAAAAAAAGTTTTTTAGCCAATGCTTGTTCTGTACTAGTAATACCCACACTCTGATGCGAATATACACAATTTCAGTTACGGACAGACACACCCAGAGTTAAAAAAAGTTGATATTGGTTTCTCAGCAACTTCTCAGTGATGATTAGTTGCTGAGAAAACTGGACTAAATATTTCTCACAGACAGACACAATGGAACAATGCTCCACTCTCCTTCAGATCAGGTATAAGTATACTTATAACATTTGGAAATAGCAAGTGTGGAAGATTCTTACATATTTACATGTACATATCCAAATTAATGCTTTTCTCTTTGCTTCAGAACTACCATTGGGTATAACAATATCAAACTTTGATGTAAAAAATATAGTGCAAACTGTTTTGCTTTAAAAATGACAGTATCACTGGGAAATAGCAAGTGTAGAAGATTGTTATATCAAGTGTAGAATGTGTACACACCACAGGAAGTCCATACTCCAGACCTTTCTGGAAATCCTCGTGGCCATGAGCTGGGGCTGTATGAACCAATCCGGTGCCTACATCAGCAGTCACATGACCACCCTCCAAGAAAGGTAATTCTCTTGCATCATAAGTTGGATTCATGATTTCTTTTAGAGGATTAATATATTTAAATTCTTTCATATCAGTACCTATTTAAAAGAACAAAAGTTCAACACAATGTGGAATTTCATATTTTAACAAAATTATCTTGATATACAAATGGTACATACCTTTAAACTCTGAGATAATGTTTAACTTTTTATTTAATAAAGAATGAAGTTGGTCCACAAATCCTTTTTCACAGATGTAAACCTCATTATTACTAGGATCTTGAATTAAACAATATCTGAAATAAAGATACTAGTAGTTATCATACATTACTGAAATTTAAAAAAAAAATGTATCTATTCAATCAAATCCTTAAAAATGGAGGTTCTAAAACAATGTACATTTATTACAATTAGCTTACAAAAAAGTATTACATTAAGCTAAAACAATTGATTACATTAAGCTAAAACAATATATTACTTTGATCTAAAACAATTCATTACATTGAGCTTTAACAATATATTACATTAAATCAGCTCCGTAACAAATGGCTTCATTGGCCGGCAAAGTCCAAGGTGTTGTGGTCCAAATCAAAGCAAATATCTTGGTCTTATCTAAAATATTAATATTGCAAATCATGATTGAGTTAAAATCTGACAAAAGATTACCCTTGTGAACTCCAATCCCCATTTATTTTATTCTTTCTTACATGTGGATCATCATGGTAACTCAGTGGGTAGTCATAGAGCACTCCCCACGGTCAGAAGGTCATGGGTTCGAACCCGTGTAATATGAGTGAAAAATTCTTGAATGGAATGTAAACAAAAATCAATCGATCAATCAATCTTACATGCAGGGAAATTCTGCATTTGTATCTTTGAACCCCCACTCCTGTTAAAGTTTTCAACAATGTACATACATGTATGCAAAAAGCATATGTGTATCTATGCACATTGTTGAAAACTAACTAACACTGCTGATAGAATCACCGTGAATAATTTGTATTAGTTATTGACAATGGCCTATGTACTAAACATGGACATATCTACTAAGAACATGCTTTTTCAACTCATCATAAAACAATGTGGGAATGCACTCACCTTTCAAGGAAGAAAATCTGCTTAGAGAATCCACAATCATTGGAAATTTAACATACACAGCTTTACTAATGAACTCAGAGTTATACTCTAGTTCTGCTTCTGCTAAAGCTGTCCTTTAAAAAAGAAATTTGAAAAAAATTCAAAATGGAGTCTGAATCAAACATATGAATCATCATTCATCAAAAGACTGCTTTTATTGTTACACCATATATTTAAGATTGCTCTGTACCTGAGTATCATGTCAAATATAGATGATGGAAACTTTTTTTTAATCCTAGACATTATTTTTTTAAAGACATGGGTGGGGAGCATTAATCTTCAGTCCTTTGCACTAGCAAAGACCTTGAATTCTCTAAAGGGACTTGTGAACCATAGAGACCAGCTAAATAGAGACAAAAACAAGAACTTACTTGGATGATGGGGACCAATAAACAGGCATGTACCCTTGATATACAAGTTCCTTCATAAAACAAAAAGCCACTTTAATTTTCAAACAAAAAAAAGTTGACACACTAAAAGACAGATATCAATGACAAATAAAACAAGCTAATTCAGAGAATTCATGTTTTAAAATCTTAAACATCCCCCTGACTGAATTTGTAGAATTATTAAATGTATACATGTATACTGAAGGAAATAAAATACATGTATGTCAATATTCATACAAAGATTTGATTGCTTATTCTTTATTATGTGTATAGAAGATTTTTTTATATGGAATATTTATCACACTGTAATGATGATTTTATAACCTCATAAATTTTTCATTTCACATGCTCAATACTATCATTTAGTAAAAAAAGAAAAAAGAAAAGTATTTAAAAAAAAAAAAAAATGAAAGGTCCGACCGAGATTCGATCCCGGGACCTCTCACAATTGAAGCGAGAGACATAACCAACAGACCACGGAGTCGCTTTAAACAGACTGAAGTATATGCAGAACTGAAGTCACATACATGTATATATTCATGTTTTCATGTTCGGTTTTCTCAAAATTTTACACAATCCATGGTGTTTGTTTTATTTAGCCTTTATTAAACAGTTCTAATAGATGTAATAAGAACATAAAGTCCGCCGAGAACCTGTTTTATACGCAATAACTCTCCTCATGCCCCTGCGCTAAAAATAGCGCCATGTAATACTATAAATACTAATAAAACAAACGGGGCGGGGCACTTTGAGAGGGGCGAGAGACGTCCTAGGGAGTTTTGGTATAAAATTACATTGCATAAGCTCAAAATCTTCTTGATATATCGCCTGGAAATGATAGTATTACATACAGACAGAATGTATAAATTTTCGACCTTGAACTTTGACCTTTTGACCTCAAAATCAATAGGGGTCTTCATTAGGCCACAGGGAGTTGTTATATAAAATTTCATTGCAATAGCTCAAATGAACTTGACTTAGATATCGTGTGGAAACTAAAGTGTTTTAACAGACAGAATTTGCTTATTTATTACCTTGACCTTTGACCTTTTGACCTCAAAATCAATAGGGGTCTTCTTTAGTCCATAGGGAGTTGCTATGCTAAATTTCATTGCAAAAGCTTAAAGGGTTCTCGAGATATCGTGTGGAAACGAAAGCGTTACAGACAGACAGAAAGACGGACGGACGGACGGACGGACAGACGGACGGACGGACGGACGGACAAACCCAAATTAATATCCCCCACTTTTCAAGCGGGGGACAACATAGTTGAGTTGAACATATATTTTTTAAACCATATGATAAACTAAGAAAATTACAGAATGATGTTGAGACAAATTTCTATACCTTCTCAAACATCTTGTAGAAAACATCCAGCTGTCTGGCTTCATACTGGGGGTCCATGGTTGTGTAAACCTGTCCCTCCCAATCAGCCATCACCCCGTAGTCCTGAAACCCCTCCTTCTGTACCCGCAAAGAGTCTTCTGCAAAGGTCTTAGCTAAAAAAACAAGTTAATCTTAATTTCCCTTTGTTAAGGCCATTGTAAAATTGAGATGTAAGATATAAAAATATAAGAAATTCAATTAAGAATCATGAATAAATTGGTCTCTTCGTTATTAATATAAATACAAAACTATATTTGCTCTATAAAAAAGTAGTTAACAAGATTTTTGATGCAGATTTTTCAAATTTTTTTTACCCCATTTCATTTGACAAAAACAATCAGATGAAATGTGCAAGCACAGTTTGCATACATGGAATTTAATTTTTGTATTTTCACCTTATCAGTGCCCTGTTACTTACACATAGCTCTGATGGAGACATCTGTCAATTTCTGTTTCTTGTTTTTAGTCAAAGCTTTGAGTTCTATTGGTAAGCCATGACAGTCCCAGCCTGGTACATAATGGATTTTGTGTCCTCGGAGTAAATAGTAACGATTGATAATGTCTTTCAGGACCTATAGAGGACAAGAAACATACAGTGATCAATCTTTTTACCTCCTAACTGTCTACTTGCTTTAATAACTGATATCTGAATGAATCAAACATAAGCAAAAAATGACCAGGTACAAAAGTTATATTTACGTGTTAGGTATACAAGTACACATAAAAAGTATTAGAATGTAATCACTGCAGACCTGTAGCTACAGAAACTACAAAGCACTTTGATGATGAAAACCCATTAAAAAATGTCTATTCAAATAAAATTCAGAATATATTAAAAATATTAAAAATGCAAACCTTATTAATGGCATGGCCAACATGTAACCTGCCATTTGCATAAGGTGGACCATCATGGAGAACGAACTGTTTCTGTCTGTCTTCATGTTGCTGCCACTTATACAGGTCACTAAGTTCCTGTCTCTGATAATTCAATTCAGTTAAATTATTGATAATACCATATTTCATATCTGATAATTAAGTTTTGCATACAAAAGACACTTTTAAGATTGAGCACCTATGCGCTTGCATACTGCTTTGTCTGTTTGTAACCACAGTGTAGACTGTAACAATGAACAACTGCATTACATTTAGAAAGCTTAGTTGATCGTTACTCCCTAAACTTATCATACCATAAAAATACATACCTTTTTGACAATGTCTTCATTCTTTTGCCTTTTCAGACTTAGAACAAATTCGGTCTTGGGGAGATTAATGGTATCTTTGTACTTCCCTCCAGGAGATTTACTTTTCTTTACTTTATTATCGCTGTAAAAACATGCTTGCAGTGAGAAATGGTTATTCCAATGGGGCTTTAAATGCTTCGATACACGAAGAAACATCGTGTTTTGTTAAACGTCCGACAATGGACAATGTGTCCATGGACGCTGACATGTTACTGTCTCGCAGAAAATGAAATCGAAAGTAAAGAAAAAGAAAAAAATAATTTCATCGCTTTATCTCAAGTGTTTGTAGATTTTTTAATTTATACAACTAATGTTGATGATTCCAAATTTACCAAAGATTTATTTTTCTTTTATTTTAAAGGTCAAGGTCGCAGCTGTCATGTGCCGATTGCTCCGTTACATGTTCTGCTTTGTTTTCCTTCCTTTAGTTTAGCGAGTAACCAAATCATATCTATATTTTAGTCTGACATGAATGAAAATATTTATGATGTGATCTCATGTGATTGGGAATGCATGTCCAAAGTGGTCAGTTGATCAGATTTCCCAAATGTCATTCTCAAGAGAGCCAGACGAACAACTAAGGAGGAACCATGACATCTCTCTAAATTCAAACATGGGGAAGTCTTCCAAAGGAGGATGGGTCATCAACACAGACGATTTCCCTGCCGTCAAACCCGCTCTTGCACCAACTACCCAGTTATCTTTGACAATCACATACATTTGTCTTTATGGATTTCTGTTTTTATTTGTGTTGTGTCAGCTATGGATGATTTGGTACTACAGACACAAACGATTCAGCTATCAGACCTGTTTTCTTTTCACGTGTCTCCTGTGGTCAGGGCTGAGGACGACTCTGTTTTCGTTTTATTTTAACAACTGTATCCAGGCCAACAAGCTTCCCTTGTTTCTAGACTGGTTATTTTATTCGTTTCCCGTGTGTCTGCAGTTTTTTACTTTATGTTTGCTTGTACTCTTCTTTGGTCAGGCAAGTATATAAATGTCAGTCACTGTGATCACCATGGTGATGTACTGTAAATGTGGATATTTTAATGGGGGAAAAATTGCAATTGTTTAATGGATTAAAATTCATGTAAGAAAGTGTTCATCAGGGAAATTTTTTTTACATTTTCGCAAAATTTCTTGGTTTGTTGTTTATACACTGCATCGTTTTGAAACTTTTGTTAGCATTTGTTGCCAAACTTATTCATAGCAAAATTCACTAAAATTTCCCCGCAACAAACATTTCCATGTTTACAGTAGTTGTGATATATGTAGAATGAAAATTTCATGAGATTTTGAAGTGAAATGCATTTTTTTAAACACATGAAAATCAGTCCCTGTGCATGTATAACCAGAGACATAAAAATGGTTTTATATGTCTCTGGTATAACCAATATTCAGTAATTATAAGGTTTATTTAACATAAATGGATTTATTTTAAAGGTTGTGTTTAAAGCTAGAGCAAAGTATGAGCCTAGTCGTTATAAGTAAGTACACAGAGATGAATTTATCAATAGGTGTTATTTGCAACAGGAAAATATAACTTATTCATCAATAAACAGGAAATAGATAAAGGACAAGTTCCTTTTATTGTTATCCATATGCATGAATTATTATTGTTACATGTGGTACAAGTTTTGAGAACAATATCAAAAGGTTAAAAATTAAGGGTTTATACAAGCACCTGTCAGACTGTCTGTGTGAATTAGTTGACTTTGACTTATCCATAGAACATATCATTGATCAATACATGTACACTGAAACATAATTATATAAAACTACATTATAATCTTAACACCCACATGCCCATTTATATATCAACTGCTGTACCCATAGTTGGAAAAACACTTTAATATATGGAAGTAAATTGCACTGAATATATTTGTCTTGGGTAACCATGGTTATGAATATGAAACTGGATATGAACATATTTCTGAATTTACTTGTGCAGGTACATAATATACAGACTAATATGGGAAACAGAATTTACTTATCTCTGACTTATGACCATAAGTACATAATATATCTCAAGATATGAAAAAAATTTACTACATGTATTAGTATATAAAGTCATATAAGTAAAAGATTAACTATTACTTGTAGTGTTTACAAACTTTCCTGTTTATTTACTAGGATTCCTTTCCGCCTGACAATGGCAGTGGTTGTGCTGATTTTCCTGGCTAACAACGTGACGAGCGCGGTGCTGGTCAGCCACCAGGAGAAGTACCACCACTCACTGCCGCTATACATCCTGGTGGTGAGGGTCAGCATCAACGGGACACTTTTCTTGTTGGCAGCCATTGTGCTGTCTGCCTGTATCTACAAAATGAGGACCATGTCCTCCTCCAATGTGATATTAGAAGCCAAGGTAAAATTTTTACCATATTTGGACTTATTGTGTGAATTCATTTTAATTTTTAGAGGGGTGAATGTCTGTGGGCAATTAAACTTTTACTGGTTTGTGAAAATGTTATTTGTAAGTAAGTACATGTATAACGCATTGAATAGAAATTAATTTAACTGTAAAATCACTTATTTCCATGAGGTCAGATTTTCATGGTGTCATTTTTTCATGGGCTTCCTCAACAGACAATGTGTTTTAAGAAGATATACATGTACATGTACACTTATATATATTTCTATCTTTTTATTAGGTCACCTGAGTAAACTCAGGTGACCTATTGCTATCTGTTTACGTCCGTCGTCGTGCGTCGTCCATCGTCCGTCGTCCGTCATGCGTTAACATTTGAACATTTTCAGCTTCTTCTCTGCAACCACTGCACCAATTTCAACCAAATTTGGCACAAAGCATCTATGGGTGAAGGGGAACAAAATTATGAATTTCATGATCCCTGCCCCCCTGGGGCCTGAGGGGTGGGGCCAAAACCACTAAAAAACTCTTTAAAAATCTTCTTCTTTACTCCTGAACATCAAGCAGTCAAACTGTTTGCATGATTGTAATCAGCATTGAGTCCTCTACCATAATTGTGAAATTTATGGCCCCAGGGTCAGGATTTCTGGTGTAAGGTGGGGGGGGGGGGGGGGGGTACATGAATTCTTTGAGAACCTTCCTCTCTGCTCCTAGGTATCAAATAAACTAATTAAGTGGGGGGGTTCGATACCAAAAGATTATATAGTGAAAATACATAAATTCATTGAGAATCTTCTTCTCTGCTCCTAGGTATTAAAAAACTAATTAAGTGTAATGTTATGATGAGCAAGAGTGCCTCTACCAAAATTGTGAATTTTATGGCCCCAGGGTCAGTGGTTCCGTTGTTAGGGCGGGGCTCTATTGATTATATAGTGAAAATACATGAATTCTTTGAAAATCTTTTTCTCTGCTCCTGGGTATTAAATAAACTAACTTAAGTACATAGTTATGATAAGCAAGAATGCCTCTTCCAAAATTGAATTTCATGGCCCCAGGGTCAGGCGTTCTGGTGTTAGGGCGGGGCTCTAATGATTATGCAGTGAAAAATTACATTAAATCTTTGAAATTCTCTTTCTCTGGGTATGAATTACCTAGTATATGGTTATGATGAGCAAGGGCCCTAATCTTCCAGAATTGTGAATTTCAAGGCTTTAGGGTCAGGGGTACCATGGGGGGGGTGTACTTATATATATATACTGAAAATGAATGAATTGTTTGAAATCTGCTCCTAATGGTATTAATCAAATATTTTTGAAAAGCAAGGATGCCTTTTCAAAAATTGTGCAGTGTGTGGATCTAGGCCTAAGGATCAGGGGTTCATGTGTGGTAAGGGCACTACTAATTATTGCTGAATATTACTGATTAGTTGAAATGCATTTTTTGTTCCCCTACCCTGCCTATGGGTATTAAGTAACCAAGCTAGGCAACTGCTAAGTGTATTGTTATGATGATCAATGGTGCCTCTTTCAAAATTGTGAATGCCATATAGCATCTGGCTTAAAACATGAATCAAATTCAATAACTGGAAAGTTGTTGCATAATGCTCAGGTGACCTATAAGGCCCATGGGCCTCTTGTTTCATTTTACGAAAGATATACATGTACATGTATATATATTTCTATCATTTTAGAAGTTTAAATACCTATATATAATACACTCTGTACAATATGTAATACATGTACTGTTTTTTTTTTTGCAGGGAACAACACTATGCCAGTCAATGACAGTATCTATTTTAATCATTCTGTTGTATGCCTCTCGTGCCATCTACAACATCTTAGCTGTGCTTTTATTCAACGAGATGCCAAGTTTTGGGTATGGCTGGACCAATGTTACATCACAGGTATTCATTTATTCTCTTATTTTAAGTCTTGCCAATAGTTTCTGATCTACAATCAGAAATCCTTGGCTCTATATACTATGCCTCCTTCTGATACATTAGATTTTCATGAAAGCCTTTAAAAGGCAGTCTGGTCATAAATGGACTGATTGTTGCGTGTACCCCTGATTTGTTTATTTGTCATCTCTCTGTCTATTAATTGTTTATAATTATTATAAACTTTTCCTTTGGCCAGAACTTTGCAAACAGAGAAATGTTAAGCTATCATTCACAGTGACTGTGTTGTACAAAAAAAACAAACAAAAGCAAAACATATGGTAGTGTCAGCATCTGATTTAAAGATCATCTAAGGAAAATCAAGATAACTGGGAGAGAAGGATGAATTTAGTTTTTGTTTGCCTTACATTTGATACAGGGAACCATGGAATCTTAAGTGTGAGATACAAAGACAAATGTATATATATCATATAGATAATGATATTAAAGAAAAAAAATTCAGCATGCTACATAAACTTAGATAATCTTGTCTGATAGAACAATTTTAAAAAGACAGAGCCAATTTATTTTACAAAATGTATAAAATGATTTATTTTTTTCAGGCTGACTTGGTAGACCTAGATAGGGGTTACGCTTTTCTTTCTTTTGGAATAATCCTTTTTATTTGGGAATTTCTGCCCACTTTTGTTATTGTGGTGTTTTTCCGAGTGAGAAGACCACAGACTAATTCGGTAAGTGACTGTAATCAATATAAACTGCAAATATTATATGTAATATGGATATTAAAGCTCCCTTTAGATATTTGTGCTTGACATTTTTCTGATTTCAATTTTAAGATGCATAATACTGAATTTAACTTTTACATGTAGTCTATAATTTACCTGCTAATAATACCCTCTACTAAGTAAGATTTGTTTTGGTATGGGTATAGGGCTCATTTGGCTCAAATTGGCTGAATTCAAGGGGTTTAATTTATTAGAAAGAATTGTTATATAATTATGAAAAAAGCATTTTACAGCAGGCACTGCTGAATTATTACATCCTTTCCATAATTATATTGATACTATGAACTTCCCTATATTAAGGGAAGAGATATTTTATCACCTTCCTTGCTGTTTCTTGTAGGCTAATTCATGTGCATATACAAATAGATTTACATAAATAAATTAAAGTACATGTAATACATTTCATTAAAAGAGTTATCGATATTCTAGTGCACTTATTTATGTTTGTACAAAAAGACTTCGATAAATTTTGACAGCACTCTTATTTACGTACATTCACAGTATCATATATATATATATGAGCTTGCCTTCATTCTCACATTCACATACAAACCAACTTAAAATTTATTTGTGACAATTTAATATTGCAATTTACCAGGAGGAAACTATATATGTACAATTTCTTTTAAAATTGGAATTTTATTGATTTCAGCACATGGTGGATTTGTCTAACCACAGCCAAAACAGCAGACAGTATTTCTTTGACAACCCTCGACGATACGACAGCGATGATGACCTTAGCAGAAACGATTTGTCAAGAAGGTAATTAAGTGCAAAATTAACAACCCACTATATTCCGAGGACTTTAAAGAGTTTTACAGAAAATATTATCTGAATGAAAGCAAGATAATGTACAGTGAACTTCATTATCCCAGGATTTAGGATTCATAAAAAGTCAATGTGAATTTGATTTTTTAATCTCAAATATTTCACATCTTCAGACATCTTGATTTTATTTTCATGGTCCAATGGAGTGCAAGATAATAAGGCTTGTCTGTATAGGTATTGAATAAAATTATTTTTGTGTTTTTCAGTATCAACTCGTACCAGCCTAACGGTGGCCCAGGCACACCCTCCAGAAGTACCCCGCGTGGCACCCCAAGGCTGTATGGATCCATGCACAGTGCTGCAGGCAGCTACACCAACAAGTTAGGGGGATTCGGGACTCCCCCAGTGTCCTCCATCAATGACTAAAGATGATCGAAATTTGGCGAGGAAAAAAGCTATACTGTAAATCTGGAATTTTTCAGTCAAAATGAATCATTTTTTAGTGTCAGAATTGGGTCAAAGTATTATGCACTTAGAAGTATTGCAAATTCTGTTCTAAACTGAAAACTCCTTGGTTTCAATGGAGCGTCCACTTTTCATCTGAATTTTGTCCCTCAGTGGTCATAAAGATTAGATTCTCACACAGCATTAGCTAGTCAAATGCCAGTTATGTTATAAACATTTTTAAATGAATACTGGCTATATAAGGAAGGTTTAGCCCCGTATTTTACGTTTTGTGTGTTTCACCCTTGTCACATGGGAGAACTGAATGAAGACAGTTATCCCTGTGTCTTGGCAATTTTAAAATAGGGCAGAATCATTTGATAGTGTGAAAGCTTGGGCAAAAATAATGTGGGAAAAAATAACCCTCAATCTTTACAGCACATCTTGTTTATGAATTTATTTGTAAGTTTATCAGATGTACAATTTATTAAATATACTATTGATGTAAAAAAAAAATATATATTTATTGTACCTACAAACAGAACTTTCAGTGTTTTAAAAAATGGTTAAGTGTTATAATCATGAACATGTTTTTTCTCTGAAATTTTCTCCACCCATTTGTTTTTATTTGTGAATTTTATCACTTAATTTGATGAATTGTCACACAGTTTATTCTTTCTTTTTGTAAATTTAAATAATTTGAGATTCAAGGACATGCACATGTAGCTGTAAATATTGCTCTCTTTTAAATGAATTTTGATTTAGTAAGAACACTCATTCTCATATGTTGATTCATTATTTTTAGTATTTTCATGCTTAGATCAGAACATGAAATAAATTATTAATTTAAACTGTATCTTTTATAATGGTCAAATAGTATATGATTTCTGACCATGAGTTTACATATCAGCAAAATTACATTTTATACTTAAACCACGAAACTGATCTCCTTGAATTGAAACCATGCTAATGTATGTTCAATTCTCACTGGATAAATATAAATAATACGTACTGAAATGAAAATTCGATTTATTTTAAATTCCACATTTTCAAAATTTCAATAGGCGGTATGACAAGATACCACTGTAAATATTTGTAGACAAAGTGCCCTTAGCTTTTGAATGTAAATACCGGTAAATTATTGTTCAGCATTTAATATTGTGCTTTATTTATTCAACGTAAATGTCAATGTCTACTGGTCTGGAGTATATAATGCTATTTCATGACCAGGGGTGGTGATATATTTCATAAATATGTAGATTTCCAATAGTAAGTGTTGCTATACCAGTGATACATGTATTGTATATGTTTAGCTACATGTGTATGTGTCAACATAGGACATGTATAATTCTATTTTGTTAAGCAATTGTGAAATCAATTTGTAAATAATATACATGTACCCTGTATGCAGGGTCTCTTATCGGATTAAATCTAATTAACATTCCTTTGTCAGTGTACAGCAAATTTTAATTTTCTTTGCTTAATATTTTATTCATTGCAAGTTTGTACAAGCTTTTCTGAAAATGAACTGGTTTTTTAACTCTGAATAAATGTATATTCTGTGTCAGAGTTTATAATGCTTAGCTTGGGAAATGGATTTATAAATGACCAATTAGCCACTCAAAGAGTGGTGAAAACCTAAAGTATATTGCATCATTTTTTAGGGGGAGAGATTAAAATTTTTTGGTGTCAGTCTATTCAATTCAATCTAAAAGATTATTAAGACAGTATCTGCATGGTAACATATGGTATGAACAAACCCATAAGGTTAAAGAACCATTACAATTGGCTGTTTGCAGTTGTAAAATGCTCTTAGTCATATATAATTACTAATTTTTATAAGTTTTTGTTTTGTGAAAAATTGATGTTCAAGATTTTCTTAGTCAAATAAAGTCATTTAATTCCTTTCTGAAGGAAATTACAGTTTGCTTCTTTTAATCAACATAAGAAATTTATTTGTTTTTGAAAATTCATGAGGACATGAAATACGACTCTTTGTGCCAGCTAGTATACCTACCAGGTATTTTGTGATGCATTATGCTGGCTTGCAACATTGTTTATGTGTACCTCATGAATTTCAAAAATTAATTTGATATTTTATGTTTAAATTACATTATTATGCCTCCCTTTTAAGAAGGTTTTAAGGAATGTGTGCTTTGCTGCTGTCGATCAGTCAGTCTGTTTGTTGGTTCATCAACAGTTTCAGTTCATTTTCTTCACAGTGGTTGCACGTATTGAAATGAAATTTGTATCATAAAAATATCTAGGTCAGGTTCAGTTTGAGGTATAATCGAGCCATTTTTTTTTACAGAGTTATGCCCCTTGGACTTGGAAAATTCCAATTATTTGCAGTATCCGTTCATTTCCTTTGCAAGGGGGAGGGGGGTCCTTAAACACGTTTTGTGTTCTTTTCATGACTGGCCGCCTTATGCTATTCAACTATAAGACATTCATGCATGCTCATTTATCCATGAAAAAATAACAGGGTAAATAGTTTTCTGTTTCATGTCTATCTTGGAAGAAAATGTTTGGAAATGGAAAGCTTACAAATTAACCAAACATTGAAGCTGGTTTACATGTGAAAAGCGGTATCAGTGCAATTACATGCATTTCAATAATAGTATCCTGTAACATCATGGATGTACCAAGCAATGGGCTATGATTTTCTTGGCATGTTGCAATAAAATACAATTGTAATAGTATTCCAAAAATAAATGAATTACTTAAGGTCTAATTTTGGGAGAAATACTTGCTGTTACTGCATGTTTTGGAAGCAGATGTCTAACCCTAACCATTAATGCTAACCCTAACTTGCAGCCTAACCCTAAACTAACATAACCCTTACCTCGCAGCCTAACCCTAACCTTAGCCCTAACTGTAATGATAAATCTAACCCTAGCAGCCTAACCTTAAATCTAGCCCTAACCCTTGTGCTACACTAGCTTGCAGCCTAACCCTAACTCTAACTTAACCTCAGACATAACCTAACCTTAATGCTAACCTTAACCCTAACTCTAGACCTAACCTAACCCTTACCTTAACCCTAGGCCTATCCTAACCCAAACTCTAATCCTAACCTAACCCTAGACCTAACCGAACCCTAATGTTAACCCTAATCTAAGGCTAACCCTAACTCTAACCTAACCTTAGACCTAACCAAACCCTAATGCTAACCCTAACCTAACCCTAGTGCATACCCTAACCCTAGACCTAACCTAACCCTAATGCTAACCCTAACCCTAGCCCTTACTCTAACCTTAACTATTACCCTAATGCTAACCCTAACCTTAAACCTAACTCTAACCCTAACCCTAATGCTAATTCTAACCCTAACCTAACCCTAGTGCTTACCCTAACCCTAGACCTAACCTAACCCTAATGCTAACCCTTACCCTAGATCTAACTTAACCCTAATGCTAACCCTAGCTCTAAACCTTACCTTACCTTAATCATTTAATATACATGTTAACACTATGTCTGCTGTAAATCAACCCCCCCCCACCAGTTGTAAAATGGTACCAGCTATAAATAAATATTCAAATGACCTTGAAAGTAATGCAACACATCATAAGTAAGAGAAAAGCACCTATTGTCTCTCCTTAAAAAAAAGGTGAACCACCTCAAAAAAATTTACCTAGTCCATTGGGACTCGGTATACACACAATATTTACTTCAGGCCTCGAACCATGAAATAACAGACCTAATTAAATTTGGAAACTTATTGTGTGGCACTAAATTCACAGTCTTCGACTGGCCATTGGCTTAACCCCTTTCATTGCAAAGATTTAGAGCATTTCTAGACAAATTAATATTAATATTTCATTGCAGTTTTTAGGGTATTTCTTGTAATTTTTGTATATACCAATGTATATATATTCCGAAAGCGGGTATTGTGTTGTTTCTGAAAATGATTATAAAAATTTTATTTCAGTTGCCATGGCAACGAAATACAGCATAATCATGCTGGAATTTCAATTTATCAAATAATGAGTTTCATTCTAGTTTTTTTTCCTTAGTTGAATATATTGAAAAATATTTTATTGTTGTGTTGAAAATTATGGCCATATTATACATTTTTTTTTTTTTACAAACCAATTTTAAGTATTTTGGGGGGTTTGGTTAGGGTTGGGATGTACACATCAGAAATTAGCATTTTTACACATAATGTGTTACCCCGCATTGATTTCGATAATGGCAAAATCGCTTAAATAGTGCGCAACGTTTTACTCAAGCTCGCAAAAAACTGGTACAACCAATAAAAATATTTTCTGCATATTATTTTACCGTATTTATTTTCTCTTTCCAACGATGCAAGATTTATTCTGATATTTCCTGATCCAGTATTAACGAAGTTATGAATGTTTTTTCACACTATACTTGTTTTTCAAGTCAGATGCATAGAAATGCGTATATGCCATGCAAGGGGTTAAGCAAGCTAAAAGAAACACTTAAAGTCATACAGACTTTTTCTCTTTATACATGTATATGTTTGTTAAGTAAATATTCAAAATATTAAAATTCTATTTCTAAACATGTACAAATGAATGTTTCCAGTTTATTGTCTTGAAGCTTGACATTGCAAATGATGGGAAGAAAAATCAAATTTATCAAATTTTATATCAGAATCATCTTTACATTATGAAACACATTTGGCAGTCATTCAGCTAAAATAAATTTTACATCATCTCTTTGTAAGAGACAAAATACTTGGATTCTTCATATCTCTTGTGCTGCCTTCTCCTAGAATCAGAATCACCGTCACTTGAATCTCGTCGTCCCCTGTGCTTCTTTGACATCTTTTTGTGCTTCTTCTTAGATCTGTGATCGCGTTTCACCTCTTCGTCACTAGAATCACTATCTCGATGCCTGTGTTTTTTTGATTTGTTTTCACTCATCAATTCCCTGTCACTAGAATCGCTGTCTCTGTGTCGATACTTTTTCTTGGACTTGTGTGACTTTGTTCTATGTGTTGATTCTCGTGAATCACTCTCAGAATCACTGTCTGTGTCAGCCTTATGTTTCTTGTGCTTTTTGGACTTTTTCTTTTTCACTGGTGACCTTGACCTTGACCTATAACACACAAATATCAGAATATAAATTAACCTGTACATGGGATCTCAATTAGAAACACCATAATTTTAATGATTCAAAATTATATACAGTCTGTGTGATCTAACAGTGAACTTCAGGCAGCATTTTCATTTGCATGAATGGTAAGACTGTCCATGCAAATAAATTCCATTGGATAAAATTAAGCATCATAGTGTAGTTTACTTGTGCCAGTTTTCACAGCTTTATGCATGAAATTTTTTTTTTGCTTTCAACATATAAATGCTTATGTAAAATCCAAGATTATACCTGTCTTTTTTCTTTTTCTTTGAAGATTTCTTTGCATCTTTCTCATATTTTTCTAGAAAATAAAGCAACAGATCATTCCATATGGATCTATCACAACTGAAATATGAGACAAGTACCAATAAACCATTGCCTGACACAAATTTTCACAAGTCTAATTCAATGGTTTACTTTGATTAAACCAATCAAGTGAATTTTCCAAAAATTCTGAAAAATATAGCATTGCAATCATGTGTATGTATTTTGTATCCATATCTTGGAAACATAAGACATCCCAACATACAGCTATCAAAAAAATAAATTTCCCAGCATACATCATTCAATCAAAAAAAATCTCAAAAGGAGCAAGCTGAGAGGAAAGTTTTCACTTTGACATCTCAAACAATGAATATATGCAATTCGAATTCCATGGATATGTCAAACTGAATTGGAAGTCTCAAGCACTCATTCTTAAAAGTTTACCCTTGATATCATTATCTGCAAACATCAGCTAGCTATTATGAAAATTTTTTTGTCCAATCGAGTTAGAGATAATGAAGCTTAATTGTATATCACCTTTTTTGAGCTGTGTGAGGGGGGACACAAAATCCTCATCACTGGAATCTGAGCTGGTGCTGCTGACATCCAATAAAACCTCCTTATTTGGGTCGGCCTGAACAAAGTTACGACACTGGAAAGTCAGGTGACCAGCTAAGGAAAAACAAAGTGTTATATATGTATAAACTCTTCTGACATTAAAACCCTTCATCAGTAACTTCTATCATAACTTGTTATCTATAACATGTTTAATAAAACTGTCAGAGTGTTACATGTATATTGTGCAAGTGTCAGAAGTGTGTGCTAATGTCTATTAATTCTTATGTGTGTATAGAAAATAAAATTCAGGAAACCAGTATTTGTTATTCCTGTGGTGTCAGAGTTTGTACGATTAGAATGGGAACCTGGAAATTTGTTATGATGGTACCATGTAATGTTAACATTAATGAGGCACATATATATTTCACAATATAAAATGATAACATTCATAATTATCAAAGGTATAAATACAGTATGCCATTCATTGGTGCAATTTACATTGTATCGTTTTAAAATTAAATTGAATAAATCTGTAATAACCTTACCATATCCACACTTTTTGCAAGCTGCTCTCAGTCCCTCGTTAACCTTTGGTGCAAAAGATGCCATCCAAATACCCTAAAAACATTAGAAGTCTATGGTCAACAATGGTCACCATAGTCACCTTGGACTTATTTTACTACACAAGTCCTGTGGTTTTAAAATTTAAGGAAAAAATATTAAAAAAGGTTCATCTTGATGACAGCAGAACCACTTTCTATCCCATTAGTATTAATATTAACTATTATTTAATATGCATCCCCATGTGAAGGTTGTTGGAACTTGTATACCGGGAAATTAAGTACATGGGAATATAGATAGGACAGATTTTATATTGAAAATTTTCCCGGAGTAGCAAGTCCAAGATGACTCAGATGAGCCCCTGTAGTATAACTTTCAATGTAACCCATTCCAATTTAGGGGTCATAATTACTTAAATTTATTATATTTAGCGTGTATGATATCCAATGAAAGTGGTTCTTTTGCTGTAGTTTTATAAACTCTAAGATGTACTATAATAATTTCGAATTTCCTCTAAATGCTAAAAGTTGCATTTCGATCCCGATGTAAAAAAAATCAAAACGTTTTTTTCTTCATCGAATATGAATAAAAAAATTGACTATAAAGTATGTTTTACCCTTTTTTAAATAAAAAGGGTAATAAAAAATACACAAAAGTGTATTTTGCGTTGTTGGAGGAGGGGGGGGGGGGTGTCCATGCAACTTCTTTCAAAACCAATTTTTTTTCTGTTATACTACATAACCCTTATTTAACTACGGTGAAACAAAAAGAGTGGGCAACCAGACTTGCAATGAACATTTTCTATATTAAAAGTAATGTCTCGATACTCGGGAAACAAGTGGGGGGGGGCAACATTTGAGGAAACTTAAAGAGCAAGAGCCACTTAAGGCCATTTTTGGCCCTGAGAATTTCTGAAAAATCAAAACTGCTCAGTTTAGGTTGATAATGCAGTATTTATCACTTGGACTGTTAGTGACCATGTATTTATTACGTCTTGTAGTTTTCGCTGTAGTCACTACATTAATTATGACGCACGTCATAAAATGCATCATATTCCCAATAATTTGTAAATTCGCTTGAAAATGGCCTAAAAATGAAGCATTTTTTCAATATTTGATATAAAACCCAACCTAATTTAATGAAAGGTCATAATGAAAAAACATGTTTTAAACATTGTTAAATGTATTATATTTCAAGAACAATGCATTTTCTGAAATATGATATTTGTCTCAAAAAAAAAAATTTATCATAGAAAATGAAAGCACTGTCTCTACTTTATTTTGATATACCAAATGGAAAAGAGGGAGGTGATAGTTTACTAACTGTTATAAGGACAGGGTCATTTTATACATAAAGTGAACCTAGCTTTTTGGTACACGTACAATGTATTATGATATTTTGTGAAAAGGTCCACATTTCAATTGAAAATTGTCGAAGAACACTTATTTTTACACCATACACATGTACTTTGTTTTAATAGAATTAATTTTATCATACAGTAAATAGAATACTTGGTTATAAATTTGCATCACATTTCTATAGGAATGTGTCATAATAAAACAAATCTGTATTTATGAGACGAAACAAAATATACTAATGATGAGGCCCTAAAGTGAGGTGAAATAAAATGTTCAAAAAAGTGTTCAAGTTTTCTTTATCGAATATTAAATGAATTAAAATGACTGTATATAAAGTATGTTTTAATTTTGCAGAAGAGAAAATACACTTCCACTTTATAACCAGTTAGAACTCCAAAGGAACCACTAACCCTGGGGCCATTTTTTCAAAATTTTGGAAACTTTATCATAAAATTTATTTCATCATAAATGGTTGATTAATACCAAAACAAAGATTTCAAAGCATTAATTTATTTTCAGACTAAGTAACCCCCCACCCCTACCCCTGACCCAGGGGCATAAAATTCACCGTATATTGCTAGATGCACCTTTTTCATCATAAATATATATAAACTTAGATAATTGGTATAAGGAGATTGGTGAACATGACGAGAGATAAGCCTATAGAGCGACAAACATGAAGGGGAAAAATTAAATCTCAATTATATCAAAATTATAATATTTTATACTTTATGTAAAAAACAACTTGCACAAATCTTGAAAATTGAAGTTATTTGCCATGAAATTTTATACACACACGAAAACACAGTCATTTTTTCACACTATAACACTATTTTTCGTTATGAGTGGTCTTCTTATTTTTTTAAATTTGTTTACATAAAAACATCATATTTTGGTTTCCAAAATTAGAGCAATGTGTCTTAAAAATATAATAAAACATAATCTGTATTTATGAGACTTGAAAATGATGTCATATCAAAAGTGATTTAAATGCCACACTTTTTTTTTGGTTAGCATGCTAGTCACTATAGAGAATGCAACTCATGATTTTTATTTTCAGTGGATACCACATTATTAAAAGAATAAATTACATTGTCCTCAAAACTTTTTCTTTATAAGGTACAAAAATTTGTGTACTCTGTTAAAATCACAATTTGAATATGATTTTTACCGCAAAACTTGTGGAATGTGAGCAAATGATAAGATTCAAAGAATATGTAAGCTATATTACTAAAGCAAATTACATTGTACATGTAAAAAACCACAAATTTGGTTGAGGTGCCATTCTTGATCATCATAACTATGTACTTTGTTTATTTTTAAAATATCCAGATGCAGAGAAGAAGATTTTTAAACAATAAATGCATTTTCACAATATACATGAGCCCAAAACATAAATATAGGGACATAAAAAAAATTTTAAAAAGAGGCACTCTTGGTCATCATAACAATGTACTTAGTTAGTTTATTTGATACCCAGGAGTAAAAAAAACAAAGAAAAGCCATTTTAACTATAATTTCTCTGATAACACCAACCACAAAATATACAATTTTGTAGGTTTTCATCATACCAATATTTAAAATCAAAGGAAAAGATTTTCAAAGAATTAATGCATTTTCACTATATGTACAGTAATCTGCCAACACCAAATCTGACCCTGGGGTAAAATAACAATTTTGAAAGAGATACATCATAATTTCAGATTTTTTATTATAATTAAAGCAAAAAATTTTCTGAATAGAATTAATGCATTTTTTTATATAAAAAATCATTCAAAGCAACCCCTGCCCCTGGGGCCAGGAAATTCACAATTTTCAAAGAGACACTCTTGCTCATCATAACAATGTACATTAGTTTATTCAATACCCAGGAGCAGAAAAGAAAATTTTCAAAGAATTAATGAAAGCTTGAACACCCTGGGGCCATAAAACACACATACATTCTATTATATGTACTTAGTTTGTTTATTTGATAAAAATATTGAAGAAGATTTTCAAAGAAATGCATTTTCACTATATGTTGAGCCCCACCCTTGGAATACCTACCTATAAAATTTAACACTGAATTAGGCACACTTGCTCAAAAATAACTTTGTTTATTTGATGACAGAGAAAAGTAAGAATTTATGCATTTTCACTATATAATTACATGTACATGTACATACAAAACAATTTTGGTAGAGAATCATGCAAATCAAACACAAAAGTTTTATTTTGTAAAAAAGCACATTTTTAAAGACTAATTTTATTACAGCGAAAATGAAATTCAAATTTCACATTCATCCATAGATATGCCAAAATTGGTTGAAATCATCTCAGAAAAGAAGATGAAAATGTTCAAATGTTAACACATGACGCACGACACATAGGGCACATTGCTAGGTGAAATGCAAAAAAGCATCAAAATGCTATACATGTCGCAAGCCACAGGTTTTGTGTCCTGTTAAATACTATTGCCACAAAACTCGTGGAGTGTGACAATGATTAATCCATGTACTATTTTTGAATATACTAAGATTACAATGTTCATATAATATTATTTCTCATCTGCTAGATAATTGATCGTATACCTTGAGACTTTTTTCAAAATATATGAGCAAATCATAATTATATTTTTAAAAATTTTCTCCCAAAAATACAAGAAAGATGATACATTAACAATTTCTGTATGATATTCAAGCACAAAATATGCATGTAGGTTTTCAGCAAGCCAATTCATAATCCTAAATAAATTGCTCTAAATCTGAGGTATATTAAATAATATAATGAAATAATAATTAAAGCAACATACAATTTAACATTAAATCAATCTATTAAAAAAATGTAATTGTCCTTGACATTTTTTATGACTTTTGTGCTGCCCTATCATAACATGAAATTATCACTGAACTCCAATGTCAAGGTCAAAGGGTAAACGTTAGTGGTATCCAATGAAATGTCTTCTCAGAACTGTGACTGTATGAAAGCCCTAGCCCTTACCATTCAAAACAGAATTACCAAACTCAAAATACCGTCAAACTAACTTTTATCAAATGAAAGGTCTTGCCACAAGGAATAAATATTGAAATATGTCTGACATTTAAATTGGCCAAGGTCAAAGTTTTTGAATATCTCTGCTGTTTAATCCATCATTATTAGTATTCAATTTTATTATAATTTTTATAAATCTTTGCAATCCATTCAAATTTCAACATATGAGAGAGAGAAAGAGAGAGAGAGAGGTTGTTGTAAGATTTCAAGAAATACATATGTGGAAAGGATAGTATACCATTCAAAAGTTATGGCCAGAGTAATAGTTTGGAATTTTTGTGTAAAAGTGGGTCAAACTCCAAGGTCAAGGTCAAAAGGTCAAATTTCGTGGTACCTAAAGAAAGGTCTTGTCACAAGAAATACACATATGAAATATGAAAGTCATAGTTCCACTAAATCAAAAGTTATGGGCAAGGTTAAAGTTTTTTGCCCGACGGACAGACGAATGAGATTTAATGTCCCCTCGCTTTCGCGAAAGCGGGGGACAAATAAACATTCAAAACAAGCACATTTCCTCAACCTTCATTATTTACACTTTACCACCATTGAGCAAGTGAAAGCTGACTGTATATACACACATTTTCTAGTTACTTATGTATGATATAATTTCTGAGCCTCCCAACATTATTAACAACTTTTGAGCTTACATATTAATTAATTACACACAAAGCACTGGTATCAACACACAAGTTTCATTTGGCACATTACATAATACAGCGAAAATTTCCTCAAATTTCACAATCTTGATACATTTTACATTATCTCTGAATACATATTAGGTACAAGTGCTTGAAATGCAATGAAGCTAAAATGTTATTATGCAAACACTCTTGTCATCCAAAAAAAAAATGTAAATTTAATTTGAAGGAAAGAGTTTGGCTTTTCTTGATGCATCCTGGTAACAAATCAAAATTGGAGGCAAAAATTTGAAGAAGAAAGAAATCTTAAATAATATTCTATCACTTAACATTAAATCAATCATGGTTTATGTATTTGTCCTTGACCTACTTTTGTGCTGCCCTGACTAACATGATACCCCGGGGTATAGCTTTACAACACTATGCATGAACTTTTATTAAAGATAGACATTTAAATTATTTTACTGTTGTTTAAACTTTATATAGTATAACATTTTAACATATGAGAGAGAGAGAGAGAGAGAGAGAAGTATAATAAAAGCTATAATTCCTGCAGTTTTATTCATTTATTTAAATTAATTCTTACCACACAATTCCACAAAATGCAACAGTGAAAATACTTGACATGTATAAATAGCTATAAAAATTATGTCTTACTATTTGCCAAATAAAGGTTTCAGCATTTTCCACTTGTCCTGTGTTACTGCCTTTGCCATACAGATCAACCTGTTCAAGATGAAGTGGAAAATAAAACTGCATGTTATTTATTCACATGAAAGACCCTTTTATCCATTTTCATATACTGTATGCTTAGGTTATAAAAAAAACATTTTAGTTCATTTTATGCTCCTCCCAAAAAAAAGGTAAGAAAAATCCCTCTAAATTTCAATTTGGTCAAACCTGAAACTGGTTGTTGTCTCCAAACAAGTTGACTCTTCCCTTCTCTTCTAGTTCCTGACGCTTACCATCAATAAATGTGTGTAAGTTAAATGGGTCTTGTAGTGATCTCTTGCTGTCTAGGACAATGGGTGGATTTTCAGGTATGGTTCCTAATCAAGTAATAATTCAAGATTTATATCAGATTAAGTAATTCATTGTGTTTCAAAATAATATACAGTTGAACTATCTAGAACTCCGATATCTCGAATACCATGGATATGTCGAAGTGATTTGGAAGTCCCAATCACATATTCCATAAGTATTTAACCTTCAATATCTCAAATCCCCGGTTATCTCTAAGTTTTTTCTCAGTCCCATCAGGTTCGAGATAACGAAGTTTGACTGTACTTGTATATGAAATATATTTTGCTTTTCCTACATTTTAGTGTTAATTAATGCATAAAGCAATATATGTACATCCTCTGAATAATTTCCCCTTTATTTCCAATGAAATGCACACCTATAGTTCCTTTAATAAATACATTTACTCCTAAACAATATAAATCTAGTTTTTTTTTTAGAAGCCCTCTGTATGAAATATTACTTGAGTTCACAGCTTAATTTTACTGTGCAGGCAGAACAAAACTTCAAATTTTAAATCATTGTGAAAATGCTCATGTAACTTTAGCAACAGATAAAATTATGGATAAAAGTGTTGATTCAAATTTGATTAGAAATTTATAATCAGAAACACACACACACACACACCCACACACACACCCTCTCACACACACAAAAAAAAACTGACAAGCAAAAAATACAATAGTTATTGACCTCACAGTCTTAAAACTTTAAACTTAAAAACTGACCTGGTAGAGGCTTTCCTGTCTTATATTGCTCTGATGCAAAGAATCTGAAAGACAACAAAATTGTTGTTAGTACAAAATGAATACAGTCAAACCCATAATAAGCAACTATCAAGAGTCTTACTCTTTGATTGAAAGTTCTACCTTTTGATAACAAGTCCAACCTTTTGATAACAGTTATACCTTTTGATAGCAAGTCCTACCTTTTGATAACAAAGTTATACCTTTTGATAACAAGTCCTACCTTTTGATAAAAAGTCCTACCTTTTGATAACAAAGTTATACCTTTTGATAACAAGTCCTACTTTTTGATAACAAGTCTTACCATTTGATAACAAGTCCTACCTTTTGATATTAAGTCCTACTTTTTGATAACAAGTCTTACCTTTTTATGATGGGTCCTAACTGTGAACCAAGGTCCTCACAATGGAACCACTCCTCATACAATGATTTCAGGGTTTTCTCTCCATTTTCTTCTATATAATATCTTAAAAAGAAATTTAATTGCCTGTCCATAAAAAAAGTCAAAAAGTCATTAAATTTTAAATCTGAATACAAAGAAAAGTTCTTTTGTCCTCATTATCATTTTTTTTAATGGTGTGAATTTAGCATAAACAGTTACCTCCCCATAAAATATGTACAAATAACCTGCTTGAATCTCAAACAATCAAAACAGTTTGCAAATGTGAGAAAGGCAAAAATAATATGGAGCAAAAGCAGCCTTTATACAATAATCTAACCAGTTTCATTTTTGTACTAAAACTACAAGTTGCTAGAACATTTCCAATTTTGCTCTGACCTTAATCCATCTGACTCATTCTCTGCCCTCTCTCGCTCGATCACCAAACCTATTGTGTCTTCTTTCCTCTGAGGGGAATGGGCTATTCTGCCAGGGAGCAGAAATATCTACAAAAATAACATTATTCAATATATTTTTTTTAATATAATGTAAATAAAATCCAATAGCTAATTTTTAAGCAGATGAATAATGAATTCATATTTTATTTTCTAGAAAGGGGTCAATTGCCCTAATGTAATCCTTCCCTTCCCATTCTGTCTTGAAAATGAAGTAGAAATGCTTTCTCATTAGCTCAGCAACATTAAAGTGCATGCATTTCTACCAAGAGCAGGTAGAATGTGGAGACATGCTTACCTCCCCTTCTTTGATTGGAACATCTCTGTGTTTTCCTTGCTCTACAACTTTAAGGCACATGTCACCTTTCAGCATGTAGAAAAGCTAAAATATATAGATCATAATTTAAAAATACAATTTCTTAGTAGATTATGAAACCAAATATTTAGGTTTCTTACAATTTCACAGCTTACACATTTTATTTTTATTAAAGATCAACTATTTTCCTTATTTTAGGTACATGTACATATTATAGAGACTTTTAGATACTAGTACATGTATTAGTATTTTTAAAAATCATTTTAGTCCAAATACTGTATGTATACTTAAAAAAGTGGGCTTCAAATTTTAGCAGCTTTGATGCAGACAAAGAAGTGCTAATTCATAAATACCGCTAAAAAATCATATAAAAATACAATAAATGGCACATGTTGCGATAATTCATGAATATACCAACAACTCAATACCCAGTGATTGCACTAAATTTTAATTGTGCCAATTTATGTACACATACAGTATTCAATATAGCATTCACATTTCTTTAAAAAGTAACATTAACTTGAAATATCTAATAATTTATGTCTCTCTCTCTCTCTCTCTCTGTTATTGAACACACTTCCTCTCCTTCTTCTATGTGGTAATCTTTTCTTCGGTTTGGACCGCCAACAAAAAAGGACTTCACCTGCCCATCATTATGCCTATAAAACAAAACAGAAGCTAATTAATTCAACCTGAGAGGTGGTACGTTAATCCTATTTCGATCAGCATGCTAAAGGTTAATGGTGAGATATTTTTGAAGTTTTTCAAATGTGGGTCAAACTTACAGTCAAGGTCAAAAGGTCAAATATTTTAAAACCCATTGAAAGGTCTTGTCACGTACAGTGAATAAACAAGTGACATATGAAAGCCCCAGCATCAACTATTCAAAAGTTATGGTCAAGGTTAATGCTTGGATATTTGTGGTATAATTATACCCCCAAATCTTGGATTAAAGGGGCATATAAAAACAGTTTCATGCACTTGACACAGAGAGTAGAAAACACGACCATGGTCAAATTTGGAATGAATCAAAAATATATGACAAATAAGAAACAGCAACTGTATTCTTAAAATTTCAAGAAAGGCCATGCCACTAGAACAACTCAAAATATATCAATAATGAAGGCAGCTTGTGTTATATAAAATGCCAGCTTCCAATGAATGCAAATACATATCATGAAGGCACCTTAACTTCAAAACAAACAGCTCAAAAATATCTTAAAGTGACAGATAAAGGTTTAAAAGTCTTTGCAGACAAACTGAATTTATAATAAGAACAGAATGAGGCAAAATCTATATTATACCCAAGAAAAAAATAAATAAAAATAAAAAAATATATATCCAAATCTTGCTTTAAGAATTCAATGAAATTGTGGGGTATTTCAACAAAAATATAAAAACAGTTTCATGCACTTGACACAGAGAGAAATAAACAAATTCTAAATCATATGTCATTACTGTAAAGGATGTTATATTAAAAAATCCTATTAGGATATACATTTTAAAAAAAATCATATTAAATTTTTAAATTACACATAGCTACAATAACTGCATGATTCCAAGCCAAGGAGTCATGAAAATTCTTTTAATATTCATATCGGGGTGACCTTAAACATGTTAAAGAATGCACAAGAAAACTATCAATGAAATCTAGCTGTTGTCTGCAAACAGGTTCAGGGTTGGGGATTTAAATAGACAACTGCAGTGACACTACAATAATAACTGTAGTGTTTTGTTTTGCATGTTTTATGCAGTCAAGATTTGAAAATAGTGCTCTCATCTCTAACCCATGCACTAACTGACTATACTATTAAGTCAATTACATGTATAATACAGGCAGAGCACAACACTATTATATACTATTATCAATAATTGACATATGCAAGTCCTTATTAAATTCATTTACAAAGATGAGCAGTAAGTGAATGCGAATGTTTATTTAAGACAATGTATATTTACCATGTTCAGTGGCATGGTATGATACCTTTTGGTAATGTTAAACCATAGAGGAGAAAAATGCAGCATACCAGACCCGGATTCAAACCTGGCCCCCCTTAATCTCCAGTCAGGTGCTCTACTGACTGAGCTATCTGGCCATCTGCGATCGTACCCGGCTGACTGCCACAGGTACTACTAAAATGCACCAAAAGCTTTACTAACAGGTATTGAAAATAAGTTATTAATTACAACTATGAAATATATTATTGGATTTTTTTTTTGCCTAAGTTGGGTTCTTCTTAATATGGTAAAAAGTTTCATGTTAAACAATATATGTGTTCATGAAACACTGATGCCCCTGTATGGGAAAGGTTAAAGTTTCTCAAATGCAACTCAAAAGTAAGAAACAGTTGGATCTTGTCACAAGACTAAACTTTAAAATACTAGTATGAAAACCCTAGCACCATCTGATAAAGTTTTTCAAAAAACAGGTAATGCCAAGGTCAAGGTCAAAGAATCAAAATTTTGTTGGTATACCCATGGAAAGATCTTTTCACAAGAAATTCATCTCTGAAAATGTGAAAGCTCTAGTGTTAATAATGCTGATCATTGAAAACTTGGGCCAAGGTTGATTTTTTTTTTACAAAGGTCAAGGTCAAATGGTCAAAACGGTCAGTACCTTGGGGACCAACATACAAACAGATGGACAATAGGGCTGGGCAATAACATCGATATTTCAATATATTGCAATACAATGACAAAAAATATCGTACCGCAATACAATTTTGTAATATCGATATATTGGCAATGTGCATAAATTAAGGAATTTTGTCATTAAATATAAAAATGGACTTATAAAAGTTTGTTATATGAACCAAACAGTAAGTCGGAAGTTGTTTGTGGGAACATTTCAGAGCATAACTTAAATTATTTCAACAAGATCTTTTTTCTGTGTTGGTTACTTATCATAGTTATGTACATTCTGCATGTAAATTAAAGTAAATATAGTAAGAAAATGCCATTTTTATAACATTGAAAATATTGCAATTAATACATATCGCAATACAGTTAAAAATATCGCAATATATCGCAATACGAAATCTCAGGCCAATACCCAGCCCTAATGGACAAAGAAAAAAAACTTGCGTTACCCTGAATTTTTGACCAGTCTGTTGCCTACAATCAGCTAAGGACAAAATCAAACCGCCTAACAAGGATGGGGGGTTGCATGTCTACCAGAAAATGGGAGACAATGAGACAATTTTACTTTCAAAGAACAATGACATTCACCAAGATAACATGATAATGAGATTTTAATGTCAAATTTTGACTCGAATAATACATGCTATTGATAATTGAATTCATGCACTTACATCATTTTGTTGCAGACAGGAGGTAAGAAGAACTTTTGATTTTCCTCCAACCATTTTTCTCTGTTGTAGACCACGGGTTTACTTACATCTGCCATCTTTCACAAATTGTTCTGATGTGTCTAGCACATTAGTCTGAAAGTGGGACACATAATATGCAGATTTGTAAAATTGTACCTGTGTTTATATATTTTAAGAACATTGACCCCGATGGTTAACGAGACCTAGTTCCTTGACAACATATTTTAATCATGATGCAGGCAATGCCATTTGTGTTATCTTACAATACGGGCAATAAAACCCCCAATGTTCTTACCTATTTAGGCTAAAAGTGTAACTTTCAGTTCTAAAACAGTAAAGGCAGAATAACAACAACACGCCTTTCGAAATGGCCAATGAAATGGCTACGATTTGACGCACCTACAAGTTAAAAATTTGGCGGATCCAGAAAACTTTCTGAGGCACCATTTGTAAATTCTTTAGATCAAAATACTAAATACATATACGATATAAAAATATGACATCAATAATTTATATTCATAATATAAAACAATTATTACTGATTAAAAAAAAAAAAGAAAATTTTTGATCTTTCAGAAATATTTCTATTGTTATATTGATTTTCTGGTATTAACATGATAAAAAAAAATCTTAATATAAAAAAAATCATTTTTTGACATCGAAAAATTTAATAGTTGATAATTTGATTTTTTTTTACATTATGGCATGTTCTTGATATCAACAATTTTTTAAATGTTTGATATCACGAATTCCAAGTTACGGAGATTTTATTTTTAGAAATCAACATGATCAAAAAATATTATTTAACAAGTTTTGGTTGTTATAATATTTGATATTTGATGTAAAAAAAATGATGAAACCGACAGTTTGCAACATATGTTTTTAAAGTAGGCAATCATATACTCCTTAAGTAATTGTTTCTTCCTAAAGCCAATGCTTTTCCGCGAAGATCCATAAATTGAGAAATTAAAACAAGATGTGTTTGTGAAACTCTATGCGCCCGGCGGCAACAAAGTTACAAAAAACTATTTTTAGCATACAGGTCACAGTCAAGGTCACAAGGTCATTGATATTAATGTTATTTGAAAGAACTTTAGTAGAGGAGTATGCATACCAAATATGAAGTCTATATCTCCCATGGTTCAAAATTTATGTCAGAAGTTCGAAAATAGCTAGTTTTAGCATTAAGGTCACAGTCAAGGTCACAAGGTCAATGACTTTGGTGTCTTTAGTATGAGCTTTATTAGTGAAGTATGCATACCAAATATGAAGTCTCTATCTCCTATGCTTCGAAAGTTATGGCAAAAGTTTGAAAAAGCTATTTTTAGCATGTAGGTCACAGTCAAGGTCACAAGGGCATTGACGTTGGTGTCCTTTGAAAGAACTTTATTAGTGAAATATGCATACCAAATATGAAGTCCCTATATCTCAAGGTTCAAAAGTTATGGTGAAGGTTAAAGTTTTCAGTAGACAAACAGATAAACAGACAAACAGACAGGACAAAAACAATATACACTGTACGCCTCGGATCTATCGATCTGGGCGCATAACAAAAACGCACCACCTCGACCAGCTTACTATCGCCTTGAGAGCATACACCCTGTACACAACACAGTACTGTGTACACCCGCATGTTGGAATATAGGGCGATAGTAGACAAAAGGTTCGTAATGGGGTGGAAACAATAAGAGAGAAGCGTTAACCATACAAGAAGAAATAGACATACGGTGGAGTGACCTCCGAACAATTGCAAACCGATACAGCCGAAGCAGTGATGAATAAAGAGATGGACTAAGTCAACTTAGAAAAGACTTCAGGAAGGGAAAGAAGGAAGGAACGCAGGGAGAATCAGAAACACGAGAGAACAGCTTTTGTCAGGAATCCATATAACTTCGCGACTTGCGTTTGAGGCCAAGGCATTTGGAAAGATTAATGATCATAGAGAGGGTGTTGAAAGAAACACATTTGAATGGGATCAGATACTAGTTGGAACCACTTGGTGAAAATGACAGAATAGAGGTTGTATTACCAACTTTGAAGCCTCTATCATCAACAACATTGGACAAAATTAGAGAAGTCGTGAGGAAAGCACGGGTTTAATGTTTAGCTTTTGAACCAACATGGTGTGACAAACAAGGTCTACAACCTTCTTAATATGGAGACTAACGAGGATCATTTGGTAGTTAGGCTACATATCACAAGCTGGCAAGTAGCAGGTGGTTGCTTTGTACCAAAGGAGGAGAGTCCAGCAGAGATTACATACGAATTATTCAGATTAGGGCTACCCCAGATAGCAAGCTTACGTTGGCCCAATGTTGGGCCAACGTTGTAAGTTACGTTGGTCCAATGTCGGAAAATGATGTTGGGCCAATGTTTTTTCATCGGTGCAATGTTGCGCCGACATTTTGGCGCAACGTTGGCCCAATGTCATAGAACGATAATTCTGATGTTGGTCCAACGTTGGGCCACTGTTGTCAGTTATGTTGGCCCAATGTCGGAAAATTTATATTGGGCCAATGTAATTTTGCTCATCGGCGCAACGTTGTGCCGACATGTTGGCGCAACGTTGGCCCAATGTCATAGAACGATAATTCTGACGTTGGTCCAACGTTGGGCCACTGTTGTCAGTTATGTTGGCCCAATGTCGGAAAATTTATATTGGGCCATTGTAATTTTGCTCATCGAAGCAACATTGCACCGACATGTTGGCGCTACGTTGGCCCAATGTCATACAAAATTTACAATTCTGATGTTGGCCCAATGTTGTCCCAACATATTTTTGTACAAGGATATTAAGAAATCTATGGAATTCCATGGAAATATAAAAATCCCAGGAATATACAATGAAAACTGAAATAATGATAACATCACAATTTATCATAGATCAAATCTATATTTCAAAATTAAAAATTCGTTTCTTTTACAATGTGTTTTGAAACAAATATATAATATTACATATACACTTATAGATGTACAATGTAAGCACATTTTTTCAAAGTATTCTCACTGATCGACATTCTTTGTAATAAAACAAACTGTTTCTTTTTTTAAAAATATGGCATTTGACTTAATGACATTGGGAGAGGTCAATTGCAGAACTTACAAAGAACTTCCAGTTGCCCATGTACATTTACCGTACAAAGAAAGTTAATGAATAGACTAGAGTGAAAAACACATGTATTAAGTACTAGAGTGAAAAACACATGTATTAAGTACAAAATCTCAACTACACAACTACATTAATAAAAAAGATCCCATAAAATCAACACATGCTATTTTCACCGAATATGCCAAAGATCCAAATTAAGTTAGATTCCAAATTTCTCGTCAAGTATCTGCTTGAATCACTTCCTCACTGATATCCCATGAAATTCACAATAATAAACAAATAAAATATGCCGTTATGTTAGAGGGTAGCCAAATAAATGGTCATGTCAGTCACGAACGGATTCACTTTAAGTAGGAAGGTTCAGAAAGTTCAATATTGATCATTTCCATAGTCACTTCAAACTTTGCAGGCACAATTTCTGAAAGAAAAGATGACCATTAGGATGTATTATAATCAATATCTATCGAATATATAAACAAAAATATATGACAAATAATAAAGTAAGGCTCTACAAGAATTGGTTATTTCAACCTGACAGTTCAGTATAGTGTAAAATAGAAATTCACTATCTTGCATTGTTTTTATTTAGGCAAAATTAGGCAAGGGGTCTGCGGGCCGCCTAGTGGGGCCCAGGGGGCGAAGCCCCCGGAAGCTCCTGGATTCTAGAGATTTTGTAGGGTAAAAATGAGGTCTACCAATTAGACGTATTTACATTTTCTAGACGAAACTGTGATTTACGCTAACTCTGAAATCCGCCACTGTTTAGATTACCTGTCAGAATCCATTGTTATGTATTTTTAGGATAAAGAAATTAAAAATTAAGAATATAAACCTCTTCAGGCTCTTGTTTACTTTAGTGGATGCAATATTTTTTATAGTTTTATGCTAAAAGATACAAGTTAATAAAAACAATGTTAGGTTATTTGTGTTACTTTAAAATAAAAAAAAATTGAGCTGGTTCTCACCATTTTTACAAGCTGACAACTCGCCAGTGCTTAGGGAATCGTCTCGGGCACAGTCCACTGCATGCAACTATTAAATAATCAAAATAAGTGCTAAAAATTATCTTGAACATGCATTAAAAAATAAATATATATTATTACATTGTACAACATACTCTGTAAATGTTGAAGAGAGGAACACTAAAATTCCTGAATCGATCCCAAACGAGGAAATTCGGGTTGAAATCCATCTTTATGAGAGATGTTTAGAACTGAAGTGTTAAATTATTATAACAAAATTGAAATGGCACTTGCTCAAATGATTTCACTGCAATGCGTTTTATGTGTAGTGTCCTGACTAAGGAACAGTCGCAAAAGCAATTATTCATTCAAGGACAAATGTTAAAATATTTTGTACATTGTACCTACCGCAGTACCGGGTCGTAAAATGTCTTCATCTTCTGTCAAAACAGAAATTCCATCCAAAACTAGTCATGATTCTCCTTTTCGCACCTCTTTCACATCAACATGGCTGCGTGTAACCCACCAAAAATTTAAATTTCGGCGCGGTGTGTTGTTTAAATTAATTGCTTATCGAGCCCGTTTTCCGACGTAATTGTACTATTAGTCGACAGTTTTAGAGAAAAATCTAAGTTATATTCCATAGTTTTGAAAATCTACGTAAGGGTTAAATAACTAGAAATGAATAAATAAACAAAGAATTAAAAAAAAATAAATTAAATAAATATTTTTTTAAACGTTTCAACATAAGTTTACATAGCAGCATTGGTTCAACAATGTCGGCCCAACATTACAAAGATGTCCATACTTCAACAATAAAAATAACAATGTTCAGGCACGTAGCAACGGGGGGGGGGGGGGCTGGGCCTATAGTGAAATCAAGGAAAAATAGCAAAAAAAATTGGAAGTGAAAGGACGTTGGCCTTGAAAAAAGTTGGCCACCACCACCCCTATCCTTTTGCTTGTCAACTTTTTCAGGTAAGTAAAAAAAATTCTATGCCCCCCCCCCCACACTTTTGAGAACGATGCTACGTGCCTGATGTTGGCCCGACGTTGGAACAATGTCAGTGCACCAACTGTTGTAATTACAATGTCGGACCGATGTTGGTACA